CTTCGTGGCCCTCCTCTGGACCCTCTCCAACAGCTCCCTGTCTTTCTTGTACTGGGGGCTCCACACTTGGTCACAGTACTCCAGATGGGGCCTCACCAGAGCAGAATAGAGATGTGGCACTGAGGAACAGTGGGTATGGAGGGGTGGGCTGGGGTTGGACCTGGGGATCTGAGAGGCCTTTTCCAACATCAATAGATTCCATAGGTTCTTATTTATTCAGGTACATTTCATTATTCTTCATGACATTAACTTCTGGCTGGCTTACAGAGGCAACAGCCCTTCTCCTGTCCCATATTGCCACAGCAGCTCCGTACCCCCCAGAGGAGCAGCTGTGCTGGGGGCTGAGATCTGCTGAGGTGTGTGTGTGTGGGGGGCATGGAGCACTTGTCAATGGAACACATCCAACTGCTGCCATTGTCTTCTCTGCCAAAGAATTCCCATCTGCAGGCTTTGGATTTTATTTCAGTGGGGCAGCCTTCCTCTGTCGGTCACAGTGCCTGGCAGGAAGCTGAAGGCTTGCACTGGAGCTGCTAGAAGCGTGCATTCCTGGGCCTTGGGCTGCTTTCAGAGATAAGGCCTCATGTTTCTGCAGCGGGGAATGGGGTTCTCAGGAAAGGAACTTTCCTTTGTGGTAACTTCCAACGTGGTGTCGTTTCTTAGGCTGCAGAGCTTTGGTTTCTCTGAGCCTTTTGCTAAGATCATTCATGAAACAGAATAATGGCGATAGACACAGCACTGCTGCGTTCTCTTCCTACCTATTTCTTAGCAACTGTTAGCAAAAGATCAGCGTAGAGACAGAAGAGGCATCATCCTCTTGCTCCTCCGTGTGCTGCTTTGGTTAGATTTTGTGCAGCGTTCTTAGAAAGCTCATTGCCAGCCTGTTTAGCAGCCAGGGAGATGAGCGCCGTTGGCTGAAAGCCGTTTCCCCTGGCACCAGGCTGAGCTCACACAGAGCAGGATGCGCGCTGCCCGTGCTGCAGCAGCCATCGGGACATCCTGTCTAGACCTCACGGGGAATGCTGGCTTGTTGGCTTGTACAAGGCACTGAGCAATAAAAAAAAAAAAAAAAAAAAAGGGCTTGAGGAGGAGGTGAGCAGAGCATAAATAAAGCTTTTCCTATACTGGAGAGAACTGTGCTCTGAAACAGCTATGGAGCAATAGACACAGCTGCTTTGGGAAGTGGCTGTTGGTCATCTGTTGGCTTTCTAGTGCATACACAGAAAATGCAGCTATTTGCACCTGGAGAGTAAATGAGCGCCAAAGAGCCAGAGGGCTGAGTGCTGAGTGCAGTTTCAAAAGGTGCCTCGTGTCTGTCCAAATGCAGCACAGCATGCTGAGTGGGTACAAAATGACCCAGAAAAAAATTGAAACCCAAAGTTTCATGTTTCCTTCTGAGCTTGCCCTTTCCTCTTGGGTGCAGAGAGATGTATTTTGCTTTTTTATAGAGATGCGTGCTTAGATACGCCGGGAGGAGACAGGGATTTGGCTTCCACTGCGCTGGCTGTGGTCCAGCGTGAGCAATATTTGTGATCAGAGATGTCAGTAAAATCACAGTGAAAAGAGATGCTGCTGACTCAGTTGTGCTGCGGCTCATGAACCGCGTTCTGACTCAGCCTGTGAAATTCAGGATTTTTTCACTAATCCCCAGTGGCCGAGGGGAGGCTGAGCAGGAGATGACGCACTTTGAACAGCGCTGGGATGCAGCTTACAGGTGTGGGTGTGGGGCAGCACAGGTTGAATGCTCCCTGGTACCCCGGGAGGGTGCACTGCTTTGACATGTAGTGATGGAGACCAACCTAAGGGCCCTTTATTGTGGAGCAGAGCAATGGGACCACGTGTGCCCCCTCAGTGCCAGCCCATCGCCGTGTGCCTCCTCCAGCTGCTTTCTGCCTTTGCTTGCTGGGAGCTGCGTGGTGGGAGCATTGCTGCCTTGGGAACTGCTCCCACGCAGCGGCCGGGCTCCCGCTGCTCCTAATGGAGGAGCAATTTGTGGCTGTGCCGTGGAGACTGCTGGGCTCTGCGGGCTGGGAAAGGGCTGTGAAGGGGAGCTCAGAATGGCAAATTACTTGTGACCGGGCTAAAACACACTGCGTAGGGTCTGCATTGCCATGGGAGATCTCACAATGTATAGGTTTATAATTACAGATCTTGCTTAACAGAGAAAGGAAAATCCCACACCTCCTGCTCTGTGACAGTGTCCTGGGAGTGGGCAGCACCACGCTTTGCACCCATTAAGGAGAGGGCAAAGCAGGAAACAGGGGTTCCACAGCCCTGGGTAAGAAGCCAGAGCGGAGCTCCTGTTCTTCCTGCAACCCTTGGGTACAAGGGGCAACTACATAGAGCAGAACCCCCACCTCATCCTGCTCCCTGGTGGCTCCAGCTGTCCTCCATGCCCACATTTGGCTCTGCATGCTAGCGGTTGTTGGGGTTGTTTGGAGCCTGGGCAAACACTTCCTGCTCCATATCCTGAAGATCTCAATGTGACAGCAGCCCGGGGTCAGGGATGAAGCACTGGACCTGGTCCTGATGTTTGCAGAGCACTGCATTTCTCCATGTAGCTGCAGAAAGCCCACAAGCTGTCGTCCTGCACTACTGTGTGCATCCTGGCTTCCAACCTCATTGCACCTTCCCTTGTCAAACCTCATCCTGATCAGTGCTTGGGGCAAGGAATATCCCATGTGCCACCAGGCACAACTGTGCTTCCAGGTGGGTGCAAAGGTGCGATGCTGCAGAGGACAGCTGTCTGCAGCAGGGTAGGGTCAACATCCCAGGATGCTGCATTCTCACAGGAACGCGTTCTCCACGTGCACACTCAGCCCTGCACCCACACAGCACTCAGCGGGACTGTGGGGGTGTGCAGTGTGTGACTCAGGCTCAGAACACTCTGTCACAGCACGGCTCTGCCTTGTGCTGCTGTTGCCGACTTTCCAGCAGAATGGGCAGAGTGCTGCTCTACCTGCTGCGAGCATCGAGGGAACAAAAGCTGCCACCAAACCGAGAAATGCTTTTGTAATTTTAGAAATGGAACTGCTGTGCAAACAATACTCCAAAGTGCTCCACAGCAGTGGTGCAGGATTAATGCTGCAGGATGGGGAGGGAGCACTGCGGTGCAGGGACCTGGCTCTGGCCGTGGGCAGGGCAGGAACAAGCAGGGCACATCAGCACTGCTCTGTGTGTGTGCAGGAAGGATCTGGGCCCCTGCCTGGAGGTCGCTGCTGGGTGCTTGCCAGATGCTTGAGGCTTGGTACAGTGTTTGCTAAAGCCAACCACAGCCAAGTAAAATAGAGGTTTTGCCATCGGTCCTTTTGCTGTGTGCTGAAATGTTCCTTGTGCTTTCCCTGCTGCTCCATAGAGATGCCTTGGATGCTGGTATTGCAGTTTCTCTCTGCTTGGGCTGCCACCGTCAAAGCTACCTGGTGCAGCTTGTAAATTTTAAGACTGAAGAATGTGAACCATGAGAGTGGGGCTTAACAGAAGATGGAAGGATGATGCAAAGCTGGGAAGAGAGTTTGACTCAGCAGAAGGCTGTGCTGCCATTTAGCAAGAGCTAGGTAGGCTGAGAGCTGGGCAGAGAGGAACCTGATGAGGTTCAACACGAGCAAGTATAGGGTCTTGCAGCTGGGGAGGAACAACCACACACATCAGTACAGGTTGAGGGCTGAGCTGCTGGAAAGAAGCTCTGTGGAGAAGGACTCAGCTGTCCTGGTGGCCAACAGGTAGCTGTGTGCCAGCAGTGTGCCCACAACAGGTCAGGGGGTGAGGCAGGTGAGTTCTCCAGGACGGATGTGGATTTGCTGTGCTGTCAGGATGTGCTGGTGTCGGGGAAAGCTGTTGTTTCCTGTTTCCACGTCCTATGCTGGGAGCTGTGTGCTGCACTGCTGCCTTTCTGCAGGTCCCAGCAGCTCTGGGCAAAGGAGCTATGCTCCCTTCTGCAGTGCAGCAGAGCAGTGCCCCTCTGGATTCACAGCAATGCTCTAACATGTGGGCAAGCGTGCACAAAGAACACTAGGGTTACTTTTCAGAGAAACCCACATTTTTAGGGAAAATGCTACCTGGATAGCATGTCTCTCTGTGCTTAGAGTGCCCTTTCCTGGGGAAAGGGTTAGAATTTCTTGGAACGTGAGTGATGTTCAAGCCTGGGGTGTAAAGCTCTTGCAGCACAGGGTGGGAGGCAGCTGTGGGCTCTCATTTCTCCCTGCTTGTGCCAGGATGGAAGGTTTGGGCAAAATACTGAGAACAGTTCACCTGATTCCTAACCCCATCCCACAACTCCATCTCCCCCAGCAGGGATCTCAGCACCCCTATGTCTCTCCTGGCAACAGCAAGGGGGGGAGAGGAGGGACTGACCATTGCTGCCGGCAGCACCACTGCGCTCGGCCTTGCTGGAGCTGGTTATTTTTAGGGCTGGAGCCGTGCATGACCGCTGGTTGACCTTGCAGCTCTCCAGCCTGGTGCACACTGGCAGGATCTGAGCAAATCGCTCCCCGGCTGTGCGCTGAATTAATGCAAACCTTGCGCCTCGCACTGCAACACCACGATGGATGGGAGAGATCGCGTTGGAGACGCACTGGGGCACCTGCAGATGTCTGGATCCTGAAGGATCTCTCAGAAGCACAAAGGCTTCCTTTCCCC